GAATTTTTTGAATAGCTTCTTCCCGCCACACATCAATAGCAGGCTCGAGGTTCCGGAAAGTTTGGTTGCAACGATATAAGAAATATTAATATTAGATGTTTGCAATCCATGCGGCTTTGGAAAGAGACCTATTTCACAAAAGTCTCATTTGTAAGCAAGCACTGAGATGCCTGTTCAGCACCTAGATCAATTTTATAAACTGAATCTAGCATGTATACGTAAGCTTCGTAAGCTTTGGTCACTGCCCTGAGGAAGCCTGCGACATGTCAGGCGAAACGTCGGCACCCCAGCCAACGACGCGGCGTCTCCAGGATAGCCGAGAATTCATAAATCTAGCATACCAAAGTGAGTTTTCTGAAATGTGGTCACTTCTACTCTGATTGTCAAACGCTCTGTCGAGATGTGACTTAGTGAACACGGCGTGCGAGGCTAAATTCGAGTCTTGAGGGGACAACTGTGTTATCTCTGCACGCGGCACATACAAGAACGTTATCGAGCAATTTCTTCAATCGTCTTCAATGACGTATCAAATTAATGGGCGCAAGTAATGCGGTTTCAAGGACAAAAGCACTGTGACAGTACTGTAGTATGTTTTCGTAACATGTTCTTGCAAACGATCCCCTACTAACTGGAATGAAAAATGTTTGACGTCGATATTGAAGGAATTTCTTGATAAAAAGAAACTGTAATGATTCTGCAACCAATTCATTGAACAAATTTAATTACTAAAATGCATTGTTACTCAGTAACAATTTGGATTTCTTTTGCGACTGTGGAATATATTCTCCGAGCGTCATTGCAATTGCGTCGAACAAGGTGATTGGATATATATATATATATATATATATATATATATATATATATATATATATATATATATCCGCGTAACACGCGAGAACCAGGTTTATACGGTCTATTGCTAACAAATTATTTTCTGTGCGAAAAATTAAGATTTTATTTCATAATATAAAATTGTAATATTAATCTGAAGTTTTAGTTTGTGAAGTGAATGACGAGAATATGTTACAGGATGACGAATGTACGTTTCTATTGTAATTGTTTATTCATTATCTTTAAATCACGTCTAGGATTTGCGTATCACATACACACACATATAATCACAACTATTAGAATATTGGAAAACATATAAGTGAGGTTTGAAGGTGCATATCTACTTTATACAAATGTTTCCCTGAGAAGGACATAGAATTAATTAAAATGAAACACGTGGCGCCTAGTCTCATTCACATTGAAACTTAAGAGACAAACGCAACGTAAACGCAAATGTGCGGTAGCGATTAAAAAAACCATTAACTTCGGTGAACGTAGACAAGAAAATATGTATAGTAAGACGTAAACATTCAAATGCTAACAAGCTGTACACTTTCGCGTTAATCTTAACATTACGTGTGAACAACAAACTCATTTTTGTTACAGTTTTGATAGAAACAGCGTTTTCGCTAGAAACGAAATGATTTTGTTAGAATCAAAATTGCTCAAGAAACGCTCTTTAGAAATATTCGTGTCGTTCAGGGTATATGAAATATCACGTAATCATAACTACGTCCTTTTTACTTCAATGAAGTTCGATTGTGGGTAGAATTTCTTTGACGGATACTTATTATATCGACATCGATGAGTTGCTGTGTTCACGTTTACAGCCCCGGGTATCGTGAATGAATTAGGTTAAAATTGATATGTTTATAGGGAGTTTAAGATAAGATAAATTTATTTGAACTGCAAATGGGCATAACCCGGTGGAGCTAATTACATAAATAAGATAATACAGCTAACATGCAAATTATATTATAATAATATAAATAATAATAATAATAATAATAATAATAATAATAATAATAATAATAATAATAATAATAATGTACAAGGATGGTCATCGAAACAATAAAAGCAGCTGATAAAACAACGATAATAACAACAACAATAATAATAACGGGCTTTAATTCGGACGGCGGCGCGTCGGCCTGTATGTTGGACATTGCGAATACGTATGCTGAAATTGACGACTTCAGTCTACCTATTATGTTGAAGTGTGTGCCTATGTTTGTTGGCGTTGTGAATGAGCCTTAACGCGGACGGCAGCGCTCGCTGCGCAGGGTCCGGGCCGATGGCGCGTCGCCCTTTATGTTAGACTGAAGTATTCAATATGTCCATCCCTTATGTTGCAGTGTGTGCAATTACTTATGTTTGCCTTCTGCAAAATGCCCCATGGGCCTTAATGTGGACAGCGGCGCGCGCTGCTCAGGGTCCGGCTGCTGGCTCGTCGCCCTTATGTTGGACATTGTGAATACTTCAGTCTACCACTTATAATCATAGGCACACACTTCAATATGTTTGCCTTATGCACGGGCCTTAACGCGGATGGCGGCGCTCGCTGCATAGGGTCCGGCCGCTGGCGCGTAGCCCTTTGTATTGGACATTGTGAATTCTTATGTTTAAATGGTCGACTTCAGTCTATCACTTATGTTGAAGTGTATGCCTATGTTTATGTTTGCCTTATGCACGGGCCTTAACGTGGATGGCGGCGCTCGCTGCACAGGGTCCGGCCGATGGCGCGTAGCCCTTCATGTTGGACATTGTCAACACTTCAGTGTATATGTTGAAGTGTGCGCCTATGTTTATGCCGATGGCGCGTAGCCCTTCATGTTGGACATTGTCAACACTTCAGTGTATAACTTATGTTGAAGTGTGCGCCTATGTTTATGCCGATGGCGCGTCGCCCTTTATGTTGGACATTG